GTATAAACCTCTTAAATCACTTTTTTAATCACTATTTTGGAGTTCTCACATACATACTTATTGGACGACGTTTCCACTAATTATAGAACTTTTAAATCACTTTTTTATACAGGTCGAGAACATGGGAGTTACCTCAGTAACAGCATGAAACAATTGTATATTAAATTTATGGTATATTTTCGTCTTCAATTTGGTTTCAAATTAAGATGCCATCGTTCTAGTCTCTTTACGGTTATAACTGGTATATATAGACAATAAAAATTTTTTAAAACATTTAAAGTATTATAATAAAACATTAATAGACATGCTGTTTAACTGTCTTGACCCTGGTGTTAAGTTCCCCTCTAGATAAGGTATTTACCCATAGCTTGCTCCTATATATGGAGGATAAGGTTTATACCCTTGCCTCTATGTCTAACGTACGTTTTTTACGGCTGCTTTTTAGACAGATTATATAATATTTAAATTCATAAATTTATATTATAAAAATTCATACATGTAATATTTGTAACTTCATGGTGATGAAAACCTTAAGAAGTGTTTGTCAATACTCAATACATTTAATACTTTAATGTAAATTATTTACAACCAAAATGCAACAGGCAATACTCACAGTATTATGTGCAAACAAAGATTTTTTTCAGGAAATATGTCACCCTTCAATATTTCTCTGGTTCTTTTCCTTTGGCTTCCCAGGCGTTTTTCCTGTAGGAGGATAATGACCTCTCTTGTTTGACATCAGTTCAGTTTTTGGCCTGTATTCAGTAAAATGAATATATACACTTACATTGTAATCATTATTAATTTATTCAGCCCTTTTACAGTTTATTTAACCAGAAGAGAGAGTTTAAAGCATAAAGAAGCAATGATGTACGTTAATGTATTTTTTACAACTCGTCAAAACTGTTTGTTCGAAAGCCTGTTAGCTTAACCCTAGGTTAACCTAAAATTCAAGGCAAACTTCCCAACAGCTTGTTTCTAAAGTTAGAGAGATATTGTCTGGATCAGCGGGAGCTTTCTTCCCTGAAGTTTTTAAACAGACATGCAGAAATGCACAAACCAAAACAGCAGGTTCAATTTTAAACTAGGGTTTGCACTAATCCAGCTTTGAACCAGCCCCTGTAGCTTAATGGGTTAATTAATAACCTGGTTAATTAATAACCTGCAAAATAATAAGCAATATAATGCACAACCAGTCCTTCAGTTGATTTCCAGTCGTGCATATTAACTGTTCTAGACAAAACTTCTGTCAGAAAGAACAGCCTTGCACACAAAAGCATTTGATAAAATCCTTTGCCCCAGAGTTTTTCCCAGTTTTGGCCTGATAATATGAAACACCACTGATTGGGCACATCTGTAATAGGGTGCACTGGATAGAGCTTTTTGCCCACAATTTTGCATTTTGCAAATGTGCATGACAATGCTGCCAATTCCTCTCTGATCATTTCCAGTAAAAATAGTAAACTATTCTCAGCAGTCCCTCCGCATTCGTCAAATAAGAGTGGGAGAAATAACAATTGCGTTCAGTGATAAGGTGGAAAGTGAAAAAGAACCGGGATGGGGAGACAAGGGGAGAGTCACTGAGTACGACCAGGTTGACAAAGAGACGGCAAAGAGACAGCTTCTGCCGCGAGGATCACGAGTGGCTGATAACCACTCATATTTATACTCATTCGGAGGGACTGGTTGGAATAGTAAACTATTCTCAGCAGTCCCTCCACATTCGTCAAATAAGAGTGGGAGAAATAACGATTGTGAGAGCACGCTGATAGATTAATGATAGTAAGCCATTTGCCCAATGCTCCAGACACACCCAAAGCAATACTAGGCCATTTTAAAACCCCAAATCTAAAACACTAAGGAAAATACTTGGTTCAGAAATGTGTACTTAAGACAAGAAGAATACAGAGAGCTAATTTAAAGGGACTGTAACGGAGGGAATGAGGCCATGAAATTGTTCAAAGCATTAAGGTCACTATATTTGGTCGTGGACACTGCCATGGAGGCTTCATCTGACGACAAAAGCTCTGATGGACCCGCCCGGGCGCAAAACTTGGGCAAGCTTTAGATAATATGAGGCAGTAGACGGATCCGCCATCCAATATGCAATATGATGTTGCTCAATTGGGCTCCAGAGAGAGCAAGCGTGATGGTGGCGCCGGCCCTAAAACTGTGGAATGTTTCGCCTGCATCTAGAGACACTTCCTTCAAGTACAGGTGCAGGCGCGCTTGCATAGTGGAGGAAGAGAGCTGCTTGTTCTGGATGCCACCTCGCGGTGTGGTCGGACGGAAAAGGAAACCGTGGGAGAAATCCAGTCCAAACAGACAGCCATGTAAGTTTCAATAGCCGTGACCAGGCAAAGATAAGGATTCTGATGGCGGCGTATGCCAAAAATATTCGCAGAGTGTTTTTCCCCAAACATGGTTAAATAAACCGTCATCATGTGGGAACCGAAGTATCTCTTGGGTCTTGATGGCATTAAGGTTGTGTGCCCTGTCTCCACTAAAGAACAAAGTCTTAAAGAAAGCATCATCCCGCGTAAATGTGGAGAGGGCTAAGGCGGACACGCCAGGGGTGGTCATTTGACGATGGATGTGACACGAGAGAAGGAGTTTATGAACAAACAACGGGGTAGCTTGCTGTGGTGTGATGGTGGCTTGGAGCTGCTCTGAAGTAAATGCTTTGAGGTATCTCTGAAATTCCGGCGAAGCAGCGGGATTACCGAAACCTAAGGCAACATCCCAGTTCCCATCGCGGCCGGCCGATTTAAAAATAGCACGGAGCTTCCCAATAAATGAATCAACAGACTTGTAAGATAGGCGAACTGGGCAAGCGCACAACTTAACGCCATGAAGACCAAGATGCGGGCAACTGGATAGATGAACCTGCGTTTTTCCGCCTTTCCTTCCAGACCAGGAACCGACAAAGATCCAATGGGTGTGGCTGTAAACAAGGTCTTTGGGGCAGGAAGAGAAGACAGGAAATTCTTCAACTTGGTTTCAAGGGACAATTTTTGCTTTTCATAGGCGGTGGACTGCGTCTTATGGCGCAACTCCACAAGACGCGCATCAAAGGCTGTTAGATCACCTTCAGGAATGCGAGAGGATGGTTGAGGAAGCAGAAAATTCCGATGATATCCACACATTTGGCAAAACAAAAAATTGTAATCATTCGAATGCTGACAGGAGACAGCCAGTACGAACAAACGTGCTGCGGGAGGTAAACCCAAAAAGGGGCAAGCAATGTTGATCAAAGTGAAAATTTTATTGGAACTAAGCATACAATAATACAAAGCTTTACACACAAGTACAAAACAAGTTCGCGAGACATAAAGTTATAGTCTAACATTGGTTAGGCTGTAGAGGCGACGAAACGGAACGCCAATAAGTCCCACGGTAACAGCCAATGAGGTAAGAACCCGGACTTTGAAGGAACCAGAAGAGGGCCGGCTTGGCCACGGTAGGCAAGAATGAGACAGGAACTGGAGCTGGCACAGAGAATAGACCACCAAGATCGGCGAGGAAAAATATCTGGCACAACAATGGTAAAGGGAAGCGCAAGGGCATGAAGGAACATTAACTCCCAGACAGTCGGGGGTCGGTCAAAGGGAAAAGAACGGTAGCTGAGAGGAATGACGGTCTAGCATGGAATTTTGATCGGAGTGCCGTAAGGTCGACCGAATGGCCTAGCATGCCACCATAATGAAATTGAATCTTTTCCCATGTTGTGGGAGCCAACATAGTATCTTGAAGAGACAAGGCATGCAATGGAGGATCAGCAAGATTAAGGTGAGACGGAACATAAATTAAGCTAAGGGCGTCGGAGAAGGTATGGGAATGAGCACCCTGGCTTTTCCAAGCATCAACAAGGGAGTGGTTATCCACATAAACATCAACCCAAGACTCACGAATACGAGAGGCAAACACCTAAAGCATATTCGCCAGAGTCTCTTTAGCCAGGATATCTTTGGAGAGGTCATTATCACGCCAGTAGTCAGAGGTAACCACGGACAATTTGCCAGGATTGAAAAGTCCTCCCCAAGCATAGGAAGATGCATCCGAGTGAAGTTTAATCTGGTAATGTTTCTCCGAATGCCAAGGGAGAAAACCATCCCACGATTCTAGAAATAGCCAATGCTCTATTTCGCGATGAAGAGCGGGAGAAATACGGACAGACATCGAAGACTGAGTCGCCTTTGAAATTGCCAGTTGATCTCGTTTGTGAAAAGCCACGCTGCGGGAACAGCAGCTGAGAGGGAAATGCCCTTGCCAGCCAACTTCTGAAGAAAAAGCAGAGTGACGTGCTTCCGAGATAGGATTTTGTGTACCAGCAATAGGAACTTTTCTTACGAGAGAGCAAGAGAAACGTTTGATTCAGTGAGTCACAGGAGAATCCAAGGTAGGGGAACAGATTGTGAGGGGACAAGGATGGACTTGTCCAAGCCAATTGTGTAGCCTAATTTAATCAAAGTGAAACACACAAGAAATATGGCCAATGCTGCCAAAGTAAAATTCAGCTCATCGACGGAGGCAGCCGCAAGGACGATGGGAGGGGGTGGGAATCAGGGAAACGCATTTGAGAAGTATGCGGGTCATCAATGTAGAGTGAGCATGGGATACCAATGCTATGAAAATACTGAGAGACAAGGGAACCTGTGATATGGTAAACGTACGCAGATAGCTTCCAACCGAACAGAATGGTATTGGAAGTAAAATACCAGCCACCCCATTCAAAACCAAAGAACGGCTTGCTAGATTCAGTAATATGTGGTCGTAGCCCGACATCATCGCAAACCGTTTAGTAGGAGCCAGGCGAGACATATAACAGAAGATCATGGAGATGGTCTAAGTTAAAAGGACGATCCATGATCCATAAGTTGAGGAACCGATTGTCATTACACAATCGGGGTTTCGACGGTTCAACAGTCAATGGCATGACAAGGTGCGGGGGTTGTACCTGTCCCACTTTGCCCCAAATTGAAATGGCTCCAGATGCAAGATAGGGGTGCACCGGAACTCGGTTCCGGCCGGTTAGTTCCGGCCGGAACCCCGATTATTTAGAGTTCCGGTTCCGGCCGGAACTAATAAAAAAAGCATGGCCGGAACCGGAACTCTGTCGTTATCAGAGAGATAGAATATCAAACGTTTTTGTGTCTAACAAAAGGTCATAGTAGGAAGAAATTTGGACTACGCAAGGGAAATGTACACTATTAACACTTCATTATGACATTTGCGAGCTCTCTCCTTGATGACTTGAAGTGTCTGCCTGTCTGGCAGCGGACAAAGTAACATATGACTATACATGGCTTAATAAATGAGTTCCGGTTCCGGCCGGAACTTCCGGCCGGAACTTTTTTCCAGTTCCGGTCAGATCCGGTTCCGGCCGGAACTTAAATAACTGGTTCCGGTGCACCCCTAATGCAAGATGCTGCTGGATGGTATCCGAGATGAACTGCGCAAAAGGGATACACAAGGGATGATTGTGAAAAATTTGGTGGGGAGGAGTCCAGGCATCATACCATTCACCTTTAAAACCACCTTTGAAGTGGGAAAAATAGCAAAAAACGTCCACTTTGTTATCAATCCAATCCAAAATCTCGACGGATTGATCGGGTGGAAGGGAAGATGCCAAGGTAGACCAAGCTGCTAGGTTGTGATGAAGCCCCCAGCAACAAAATTGGAAGGGTCGCGAAAGGCGACCATATGCACGTCAGCAGAGCACTGGCCACTGGAGACAGAATCGATAAAGGGCTGATCCAGAAGAGCATTATTGGCTGCCACACCCTGGGCAGGGAGTACCGTTCCATCAACCTGAACCCACTGTTCTTGCACTCGGTTGACCAAGGTGGGTGAAAAAGATGGCATGATTTCCCAAGGAGAAACGCTGTGGAACGAGAGGATGGAACGGGAGAGAACTAAAGAAAATAAAATAGGAGAGTAATATGAGAAGCCCACCCAGGGGATAGCAGCATGAGCGTCAGATAAAAAACCCGACAGAGAATTAGGTTCCCTTTTGTACTACCAAAAGAAGAGAGAGAGAAGGAAAATACAAGAACCGACAATAGACCAATCAAAGACGGCGCTAACTCTGAGGGGATCAACGAGAAGGAATATCTTGCCATTCATGACGCTAAAGTTGTGCATGGAAGATATATTGGGGCTGAGGCAATTTCTGATATTGATCATGGTGTACCCCGAGCCAATAACAATATCCCCCAGGTTTACACCATGATTACATTGCTTGTCTGGTTTGTGCTGTATAAGTTATTAATATATATGAAAACCTGTAAAAGCAGCTACTGATCATGTGAGAAGATCCAATGCCCAATAGTGCGCTGAAGATAACCGAAGAAGCATTGATACTGACTTGGTAAATTGTCTGAGGGAAACTATTGATGCTGGCCTGGGAGGTAAAAGAAAAGAAATCTACGGGTTGATTTGGGGAGGAATAATAATAATTGGAGGTAAAGGTAGACATTTCGAGTTCATTGACTACCAAGTGTTTAAATGATTGCCTAGACCTTAGTGGTTGTGGAACATAAAAGCGACGTCGTGTTGGTAGGGTAAGTATTAATCAAGGTATGGTGGTGACAAATGATATGCATGTTGCTAAGGAGGGTGTCATATTTTGATAACCACGGGAGTGACATGTAGCAAAACGCATATTGAATAATAGACAACCCAGCTAAATGCCGGGTACAAGAAAACTGCAATAACATCGAAGAAAATATAATTTTTATAACAATGGTTACAGCAATTAAGTCCCATACAAGAGAAAACCAGATGTCGGCAAATAGCAATAAGAAGTTAATAAGTTACACACTGGAAGAACCCATAATATGGTTCACAAATTGTAGAAGAACAAGAATGACTTGGGCTCCACACACCCGAGAAATCACAAGACAAAGAAAAAGTCCACTCCACACGCAAAATGCCGCCTGGTGGAAAACCGGCCCTACAGGTATTCGCTATACGGTGGTACAGGCCATAAACAAGACAGTAGTGCGAGAAGACACACAAGAGAAATACACACAGGTAATTACAATGATGAGGAAATCATGCAGAACAAAAAAGCCAAATTTAGGCGCATAATTTTCAATACGCTTGTTTGCTGTGTATGCACATTTTGTTGCCTTTGTTTTCTAGACCGCACTAATGACGGCTTGGCCCAATTATCCAGAACTACTGGCGACATAAAACTTCTCGCCCTTTTAAATTATCAGACAAATAACAAAGAAGCAAGCAGCTGTGACTGGACAAATCTGGCAGAACGGGCACTGCGAGACAATTTAGGTGTAAAGAACTAATGCCCAAGCAAGGCAAAACAGGCGAACACACAGTGCTCACCTACCTGAATATCGCACTGCAACTACAAAGCAAAGGGTCTCGAATGATTGATACGGCGAGGCAAATTGAGGAAATCAAGCTAGCCTAAACGAGGCAAACGTGAAGATATCATGCACAAACACAGCAAAACATGCTGCCAAACAACATCTCATAAACTCGAAGGCAAACCATGCTGCGCATACACATAAAAGCGCTACTTGTAGACAATCAGATAAACCAAAGTGATCAATTAGAGTCCAAAAGAAGAGATAATAAAAATGCAACAGAGCGAGACGCACAGGCAAGCACAACAAAATAATAACACGTAAGAATAGGCATGCATAAGGAATCAAGTAAACGTAAAAACTGAGTGGCTAAAGAAGGGAACCAACAGCGGCAAAACCGCTTAGCCGAAAACCTACTAGATATCTGTGAAATGTGAAAAGGGCCAACGCAACCCAACACGAAAACGGTGACAAAGGCAATGTAAATACAGACAAAAGAGGAAATATGGCTGTGTATACGGAAAGTAAATTGCAACTATAAATTACCTCAAACCCTGTAGCTTGTTGTGGAGCTGGAGCTGGTTGGTTCACCACTGGAGGAGCTGTCACAGCCTGTTCCTGTTGAGGTTCTTGCGGTAAAACGGCCGGAGGTGCCAAAAGTGCTTGAGTGTGATCAACATTTAGTTGTGGAATTTGTACATCTGTCTGGTTGTGCATCGTCCATTTGGAGAAGTTTTCTAACGGGAATCGAGCTGCTTCTGCCGCAAGGATCACAAGTGGCTGATAACCACTCATATTTATACTCATTTGGGGGGACTGGTGCGAATAGTAACAATATCAAATCATTTTTTTAACCTGAAAACAAGGTCTGAACCTTTTATAAACAATTTCCAGTATGGTATCTATATATTGAGATTATCTCGAGATTATCTGATATGGAGATCAAGATTATGTCACTGTCCAGCCCAGACATCCAACTGGTATGACATTTGATGCATCTCTAATCTGTACCATAAGTATTGTCTGTATAAACAATAAAATTATTCACAAAGGACTGGATTTGTATAACATTCTTTTTATTATACATAGATTGCACAATCCAAGGATTTAGTATTTTTGGATTCTTCTTCAAACATGGAAGAATACAATCTCTGCAATTTCATTATCGTTACACAGTGTTGTGGTGCCCTTCCTTTGGGGATATTGTTGACCAGTGACAAGAAACAACAAACACTGGAAAATGCCTTGCATTATTCAAGTCTTGTTTGCCAGACTTTTCATTTCATCGGGCTTCTCCAACAACTGAACCTAAAGTGTTCATGACAGGCAACTGCTATGAGCTACAAGAGGCTTTGAAGAATGTCTGGCCAAATGTGACTGCAGTGCATTTTTCATGTGCTCCAGCAGGTAATGCCATTTTTTTGTATTTTTTCCACAACTTATGTGCCCCTGCTCTTCATTCATTGTATATGCTATCATCCTTTGACCAATATGTATGTATAGATGTATGTACAGGTATGTAGGTATTTGTTCACCCACTGAGCCCCAGCGCTCTCATCTCTGGTGTTAATTGCCTGACAGAGTAAATGATGAAGTAATGCAATTTAATCGGTTAACCCTTTAAATGGCAATGCACCCTACTTTTTTATTTTACTCTGTATAATGCCAGACAATTTTACTCTTCAAGGGGAGAGTGCTGCCACTCGATGGGTTAAATAAAGTTTTATTTATCTGTGACATAATAGACCACTTGTATGTTGGCATAATTATAATTCAATGACAATTACCATAAATGCCAGCCCCAGGGGTGGATCCTGGGGAAATGTAATAGTCTGGATCATCCTTGGGTGAATTCTACCTGCAAAGCATTCTGGTAGTTGTAGTTAGTAAAAAATGTTAATGTTCATGCAAGTGGTCTATTAATTATTTATGCCTTTAATTAGAAAGTGTTCATGCAAGTGGTCTATTAATTATTTATGCCCTTAATTAAAAAGCCTATAAGTAATTTAATTAACGAGCAAAACTGTAATTAATTTAATTAATGAGTAAAATTATCTGGTGTTAGACAGAATAAAATAATAAAGTAGGGTGCATCAGGAGGCAATGTGACCAAACAGATTAAAAAAATATAAGCCCACCGATTTCTTTATTGAAACTTGCCCTTGATTTTTGCTAATCCTGGCTCACAAACTTTTAAATCAAACAACTATCAATGTACCCTGGTTCCAGAGGCTGTCGAGGCAAAATAATGGTGAAGAAAAATAATTGTGAATCTCTCTTCCATACTTGATTAGGTTCAGAAGCTGAACCTCCCATGTGTTTGACTGTTTGTGAGAACAGGTCAAACCAGTTTAGAAAATAAACAAACAAACTTGTTATAGCCTGCAAAATTTAGCAATCATTTTAAAAATGTATACAAAATTTTTATATTTTCCAAACCAGTTTGACATGTTTTTACAAACAACCAATCACAAGCAAGGTTCAGATCCTGAACCCAATCGAGTATGGAGATTTGCAATCGAGCATTGAGAGCCTCTGGGACCAGGGTCTATCAATGCTATATATTTATAAATAGTAACTGTATATATGTATGAAATATCCACCGTAGTCATGACAGATTATCGTGGCTCCAACATAAAATACAGTTTGTTTGAATTGATTTTTTTGTTTTTAGGTTTGGCGTTGGCAGGCTTCACTTGCTCTTGGCATTTAAGAGAATTCTTTATGCAGAGGATGCTCTGGAAGTTTTCTATGACAACTTCCTATCAGATGATGTCATGTTAAAATATCCTAATTTTACCAATATGTTGAAGATGTGTATGAAGATCAAGAGTCATGGCCACTCTGTTACAAAATCAACCTACCATTAAGGGGTAATAACACTAACAATTACTGTGAGGCTCAATTTTTAGTCATGAAAGATGAGATTCTAAACCTCCAAAAAGAAGTCAATGTTGTTGGTCTGATGGATAAATTCATATCTGAATTGGATCAACATTACATTACATCAGTAGTATCAGAAAAATACAATGGGTCCACAGCAGGTGTTTCAAGGGTCTCAAGAAGACGAAAACAGAGGGAGTGGGATTAAAAAAAAAACAACTGTTGAAGAGCAAAACATTGCATTGGAGAAGATGTCAAAGATGATGAAAATATGTGTTATACCGAGTTTCAGCAAAGAAGGGCAGGCGCGTATCTAGTGGATATGAACAATGGGTTTTGTCAGTAGCGGACCGGTATAAATGGGTCACCATGTAAGCACCAGTACCTTCTTTGGATAAACAAAGTGTCGACTGCTGCGAACGTTTTCCCTGTTTTCAGCAGAGATACAGATGTGTGCTGAGATGTATGGCAATATTTTATTGGCGAGTTTTGTTGAAATTTAGGTCTTGCCCAAGTTCGCCCAGCATTACAGCTGCCTACCTTTGTGTACTTAGTAAAGGGTAATATTAGATGATGAATACAAAATGGCCTGAAAATTGAGGAGAGGGAAGTAAAAGACACAGTAAACAAGTAGGTCCACCAATATTTTGAAATCAGAGCGTATGTAGACATTGTTTTTTTACAATATCTTACAATATATAAAGTGTATATCATATTGCATTCTCATGAAGTCTTTATATCATTATATCAAACTAAAACCACCCCCAATTCACACATAATACATAAAGGAAACTAAGTAAGTTATACTTTATAATTTTAAGTGCATGTTTAATGCAAAATATAATAAAATTAAAAAATAAATAAATAGCCTGGGCAACTGTGGTTTCTGGTGTTACTCAGTGTGCAACTTGAACTGTGCATCCACACTGGGATGTTACTCTGAGTGTGCAACTTGAACTGTGCGTTCACACAGTGGGAATCAAAACCGCAACCTTTGGGATTCTAGTCCTTGGCAGAGCATTGAACTATTATTCCGAAGAACATTTAACTATTATCTATGAACTAGTGAACTTCAATGATTTGGATTCTTGCACTTCACTTGGTGGAATTAATATTAGAATGTTAGGGTTTGTAATCCAAGTGAGTATATATACATTTTAAAACCTTAATTACCAGGAACAACTGTGATACTATTAAGTTCTATTAGCCCATAGAAATTGCATATTTCTAGCAAGATGACAACTAACTTATTAAACATATTACAATAGTTTGAGCTTGCAATATGGTGGTATTACACTTTAAATTTAATGCAGTTATTCAGTTAATCTAATTTGAATTATATTAACCATTGACATTTTACTACCTTAACAATAAATTCTGAAATATCAACCTAATAAGAAACCACTCAATTTGTCTCTCTGTCAGATTGATTCAATTAGCATTCATACAGTTTTTTTTCATGTCTTCTTAGATTCGCCTTTAAGGGGAACATAGAATTACAGGAAGAACATGGGAATTCCTTTTCTTTACTATGCACTTTCATATGATGCTTCAGTATGTAATTTGTACCAAATGTTTTGTTGCAAGTTTGACACTTATGTTTCTCTTCATGAACATTAATATGTTTTCTCAAAGCTAACTGAGAAGAAAACATCTTGTTGCATATGCTACATGTGCATCCTTTGCCCTACTGAATGATGTCTTACATATTCAGCACTTGTAGTTGATGATGCCACAATCTATGTCTTCACACATTCTCTGGCCTTTCTCCTTCCAGTCCTGCAATGACTATTTTATTAGTATTGGGTCGAGGCTAGCAGCAGAATATATAGATGAGTCCCTGCAGTAATGTTGATAATGAGCCCATAAACTATAATATTAATTAATCCTCAGATACATTTTTTAAATTATGGAGGCATGTGTCATCGTAGCAACAACATGGCTGCACTGTAGAGTGCCTAACATATACCTTAAATTTGCTGGAGTTTTACTCACATCTTTTCGTTTACACTACTTACGATCATTTTCTGGAGCTATTACAGTCGTATAAGAAACAGATAATAGAACTTGAAAAATCTCTGGCAACTCAGAAGGATGAAATTAATAAGCTCAGAAGTTCTTTATATTGTGTTGAGTCTGACATGGATGACTTACAACAATACTCACACTGAGACTGCTTGGAGGTAACTGGAGTCACTCAATTGTCAACTGATGATCCGAAAAAGCTTATACAAGATATTGCAGATACAATTGGCATAGCAATAGAATATAATGATATACCTACTGCTCAACCCAATCTAATTGTTGGTTGTGTATATAGACACCCATCATCAGATATTGAAAAATTTATGATAGAGTTTAAAAAAGTCTTACAAGAGTTTTGTAGTTCAAGATATCAAATCCTGGTTTTGGGTGATATTAATATTGATTTTTTAAAATATGTTTCTCATCCAAAAACTGAGGAATACTTGGATATGTTATATGACTGCAACCTCCAGCCACTGATCACCAAGCCTACAAGGATAACTAATTACCCTTACCAAACTGACATATATGTAAAATGTCTGCAAGTAACTGTCGCATATCTGTTGCAGTACTGCAGCATAACTGCAACAAGGTCTACAATATCTGCAAAATATCTGCATAAAAGTTGCAGATATTTTACAGATATGTTGATTATCTGTTAACATATCTGTAAAATATCTGCATAAAAGTTGCAGATATTTGCAGATATGTCAATTGTCTGTCAAAATATCTGCAAAATATCTGCATAAAAATTGCTGATATATGTAGATATGCCAATTGTCTGTCAATATAGTTATACAGTATCTGTAACTATACACAGCAAAAAATAATTTCTTATTGAGAAAACATTTCTTACTTTAAGAAAATATTTGTTGAGATGATCGAGA